GCCACCATGTTGATCACTCACATTTGGTACATTGCCCTTCTCTTCACTCAGAGGCCAGGCCAAGGGGCCAGGGGCCAAAGAGAGACGTGCCTGCAGGTATGGCAAACGGGAGGCTGTTCTGATTGAAGAACTGTATCCTGAGCATTCCTGAACCTGAATTGTAACCTGTTGCTTACCTAATAAACCCCATGATCATGAGCACTGTCTGTGAGTTCTGTGTGGCCATTGCAATGAGTTATTGAATCTAGCAGAGAGTGCCGTGGGAAGGACAGTGAAAAGGCCAGAGGGTAGCAGCATGTACAACCTCCGTTTCATAGGAATCAGCCTTGGGCTGATGCTGCTGATGGGGATTCTGTCTCCCCCTCGTGAAATTAGAGGAGATCAGAGGACGCTGCCCCCAGGCCCTTTTGCATCAGCCCAAAGTGCCCCCAATAATGCCTCTCTGGGACTTTTGTCTCTTTTTCAGTGGCCTTTGTCAGATCATGTGGCCCCTGCTTCAGTGCATAGTGACCACAGGACAAGGCCACGTGCTGTGCTGCCTCATTCCATGTGCCTGGCAGAGAAACTAGCCAACACTTTCATGGGCAATGCAGAGCCCACCTGGACCCACCTGCCCAGATCACTGCACAGATGCTGGAGGCTGCAAAGGGCCAAAAAATGAGCAGAGCTTCCCACCGGTGAGTGGTGGACAGGCTCCAGGTGAGCACAGGTATTTATGACAATGGGGAAGATAACCTTTGAACATGATTCATGTAGCTCTCCTCCCCTCCACCCCATAGTTACTGTAATAGCTCCTCAATTTGGTAGCTATTACTTTGATATTTTCTGTTCTTTTGGGGATATACCTGAAATTTCTGGGTCCTACGGTAGTTCTATGTTCAACTTTTTTAGGAACGACCACACTATTTCCCACGGTGACTACACCAGTTTACATTCCCACCACCACTACGTTCTAATGTACCCATCTCCTCACCAACACTTGCTATTTTCTGTTGCTTACACTCAGGCCTCCCTGCAGAGGTCAAAGTGTTCTGAATCTAGATTCTAGATTAGTTTGTGCTCAGTCCAGTTGTCACTAGTCACATGTGGCTATTAACACTTAAATTAATAAAATTAAATAAGATGTCATCAGTTTCACAAGAGCTGGATAGCCACGGGTGGTCAGTAGCTCCTCTGCTGGCCACTAATGGCCAAGTGAGAACACTCCTATCTGCATGTTGCTCTAGATACTTTCTTTCCTGCTGTCCCCGAGAACATGTTGGGATATTACAGTGTGATGGTTGAAGAGCATAGTCTCCTTCATTGGCCAGAGGGGCTCCTCTCCTAATGAATCCTAATTACTTTTTACAAATAAAGTAATATGTTAATGTGACTTTTCTGGTGGATTTCCTACTACTTCCAGACAGAAATTTCAAGAGCAGTTCTGTGCAAGAAAGGATCACAATGGAAAGTGGCAAACATGAACTTAGAGAATGCCTCCTTTGTTGTCTGTTCAGGGCCACCTTTCACTGGGCTCCCAGGTCCCGTGGCCTTAGCTCTTTATGAATAAACATTCAAGGGCAACCCAAGATCAGTTGTTAGATAATCGTAGGCCACACCCAGCCCTCCCTGGAGAGGGAATCCAGCCAGGGCTCCTGTTACCCCCGCAAGGGCTGTGCCCAGGACACCCGTCTCCTCTCAGACAAGCAACAGGCCTCACACAGTGAGGGTACTGATAGAGACCTATGGAGCACAAACAGAGCAACGGAGAACCCCAAGTCCCAAGGAGGGCAGCCAGCCCCACTGGGCCTGGTCTGCTGCTGGTGTTGAGTGAAGGGACCCTCTGGCATTAACTGGTAATGACTGTAATGGCCAACTTCGTGGATGTACAGTTGGTGCCATCCCACGGGGCCG